TTTATACCAGGGTACAAAGACCCAGGATTCTTGCCTCAATTCAGAACAACTATGAGAACCCATCCTAGCCCTGAAACTCCCTGTGGAATTGGTGGAGGCCTTTGTTGCTCCTGCATTGCAGTTCAATTTCTCTTTCTGTTCATTCAGCTTTTTTCACTGCCCCTCCCACAACACAGCCAAAGGGTGATCCTGAAATATCCCCCAATAAACTTCCTGCATGTAAAAACAAAATAAACAAAGATTCAAATGGCAAAATTTGTAGAAACTCCTCCAATTCCTCACTAAAAGCATTGCCCTTATTCCTTTCAAATCTCAAATCTCCCTCTTTTGGGAATCATAAGCTTTCACTTTTGTAGATAATTACAAGATACCCCATTTGTTTGGCTGCTGCTTCTTTAGACCAACAGTTGGTAAAAGGAGACATATTTCAATATTGTAAAGGCTTCATTGTTTCTAATGAAAATAATCATGGTTTTGTAAAGCAATCTTTTTATAGCACACCAACAAAAAATTCAAATGTATATACATTTTAGATACACAGTAATGTTTTCTAGTTCCTGCTCTCTCAATAGTCCCCAAGTCCAGATTATTTTATGTTGCTTCCTGATGATATTGTGCTATTAACATACATATAGTAAGAGAAAGGTTCAGTCCTGGCCTAGAATTGGGAGATAGAAGTGAAAATCTAGACAAAATGCCTGCTCTCTAGGAGCATATATCCTAATGGGGGGAGGTAGAGAGCCACTCTTACAGCATAGCCCTTAGGCCTTATATTCTCTCATAGTGATTCAGAAATATCCAATAATTTTTTAGTGTTGACTGAAGAATAATATCCAGAAAAAGAAAATTAACATCAACTGGGTGGTTTGTCACCAAAAAGGATTTATTTGGGAAAAAGAAAGCCATTGCAACCCAATGTATGCAGACATGGCAAGTGAAATACATACTCCAGCCTCTGTGCCAAGATGGAGGAGTATTTTTATAAAGAAAAAGGAAGGGGAAGTTAGAACTATATGGCTTTATTATAAACATAGAATTCTTCCTGTGCAACGTTCTTGTGATTATGTAGAGTGTGAGTACTTCCATAAGCCCTAGTTCTACCCAACTTGCCCTGGCTGGGTAGCGCAATTGGTTAGAATGTCCTCCTGATAACCCAATGTTGCGGGTTTGATCCTTAGTCAGGGCATATACAAGAATCAGCCAATGAATGCATAAGTAAGTGGAACAACAACTCGATGTTTTTTCTCTCTCCCTTCCTCTTTCTCTCTCCAAAATAAATTAATAAATAAATAATAAAAAGAGATGAACTATATAGCATATAGTTTGTTGCATAGTACATATGCACCACTCTAACCCTTTAATGATATTTATCACATTCTTTTTACCTTGTTTTGTAGACTTTTATACCTACCTTATATCTTTGTTATTGGTCTGAAGGCTACCTGAAGGATAAAAAAACAAAATGTGTTAAGAAAGAATGCTTTTTGTTTTGTCCATCCTCATGTACTAAACTCTTAAAATAATGCTAGGTTAGGGCCAGGATCCCTTTGGGTTTCAGGATGTTGGATAACCCCAATATTATCATGGGGAAATATAAGACCTAGTTCTGGTCTTGCGAACAGGGGTGAGTGGTGGATAACTGCTTTGCTACAGCCAGGATACCATCTGCATGAGAGCAGAAATTTTGTCTTTTTTAGTCAATTGCCAGTGCTGTGGCTAGGGCCTAATCTCCCTGAGTGTCAGGAGTGGTAAAAGTACCTAAAACAGCGATTTGTATTCTAAAGTCTGTGTTATTTTGTAATCAATTTCCCAATCTGATAAAAAAGATGATCCCTACAACAAAAATCAAAATAACTTCCACATGTTTTAAAGTTTACTATGCATTTTGAAATTTTTTTAAAATATATTTCATTGATTTTTTACAGAGAGGAAGGGAGAGAGATAGATAGTCAGAAGCATCGATGGGAGAGAAACATCGATCAGCTGCCTCCTGCACATCTCCCACTGGGGATGTGCCCGCAACCCAGGCACATGCCCTTGACCAGAATCAAACCCGGGACCCTTCAGTCTGCAGGCTGACGCTCTATCCACCGAGCCAAACCGTCCCCGGCTGAAATTTTTAAAAAACACAAAAATCATACTATTATTGATTATGATTATATTTGCAGTAAATATATAAAACAGACAAGATTTGCACCAAATTCATGATAGTGTCTCCCCCTACAGAGGAAGGAAACATTATGGTATTAGAAAAGAAATTTATTATTTGTAATGCTCTAACTTTTTAAAAATATAAATCTGTATCTAAAACAAAAATGAAAAAATGTTGACATTTGTTAATTTTAGATGAAGGTAAACAAATGTTTGTTATATATTTTATACTTTTCATATTGTTTTAATTTTTAAAAATAAAAAACACAAAGAAGTTAAAATACCATTATAGCTTATGACTTTATTATAATGTTTTCAGAATTGAATATATCTAGGACATATGCATATGCAACACACAAGTACATAAAACATCTGAATAACACAATTGAGAAGCATGATAATAGATAAAACTTTAACTTTGTATTTCACAGAGAATATACATTCTGTTTTAATAGAAGGCTTAAATAAACCAATTACCATTGAAGAATTAAGAAAGCTGATTAATTAAGGATCTACCATCAAAAGTGTCACTGGGCTTAGATTATTTTACAACTTAGTACTAGCTAATTTTTAAAGAACAAATAATTCTAATGCTATTTAAACTATTCTAGACAACAGGAAAATATTGAAAATTCATCAACTAATTTTCTAAGCTAGCACAATTTTAATTAAAAAACTTGATAAAGCCGTAACCGGTTTGGCTCAGTGGATAGAGCGTCGGCCTGTGGACTGAAAGGTCCCAGGTTCGGTCAAGGGCATGTACCTTGGTTGTGGGCACATCCCCAGTGGGGGGTGTGCAGGAGGCAGCTGATCGATGTTTCTCTCTCATCGATGTTTCTAGCTCTCTGTCCCTCTCCCTTCCTCTCTGTAAAAAATCAATAAAATATATTTTTAAAAAAAGAACTTGATAAAGAGTGCAAAAAGGAAAAAAAACAAAATTTCACTTTGAAATGCAAATGCAATAATTCTAAATAAAAAATTGGTAAATAAAATTCAGCAATATATCATGATTATTACACCATGCATGACCAAGTAGGATTTATTCCAGAAATACAAGTTTGGTTCAACATCAAATTCCTATCACTCTAATTCAATATGTTAACAATTTAAAGGGAAGAGTCCTAAAATTTTATCAATAGATGCTGAAAAGACATTTGATAAACTTCATGAGACATTTTTAGTAATAATGCTTTAAATAACAAGAATAGAAGCAACTCCCTAAACACGTTAGTAGTTAATGACTATTTTCCAATAACCAAAAGCAAATGTCATATTAACAGGGAATACTAAAGAAAATTCCATAAAAATTAAGAACCAGATGGGCATGTCTGCCATGATCATTATTCAACACTGTTTTAGAGAATCCAGCAAATGTAATAATAATCAATATAAACATTAGAAAAATAAAATTTCCTTATTTGCAGGTGAAATAATTATATCTAGAATGTCAAAAATATTCTATTTAAAAAACCCAGTGTAATTTACAAGATTTAGTAAGCTGATTAAAAAAATAAAAATAAAAAAAAGATATATAGTTTGTCTATATTGGCAAAAATAACAAGTTATAAATGAGCAGGATAAAATTACCCATTCAGAATGTCAAAATGTGACAAAAACTGTAAAAATATTTAGAAATAAATTTAATCTGATATGATGGGCCTAGATGAAGAACATTACAAAATCAAAACCAAATGATTTTAATGATGTACCCAAACTCTTGAATGTTAAAGATTAATATTATTAACATAACCCTCTAAATATATAAAAATGTAATACAATTCTAAGATATTCATTTTTTTAAATGTGGAAAGAATTCCTTTAATTTTCATATAAAAGAATGAATGGCTAAGACAAGTTATATAAAAGAAGAAGAAAAAAAACTAATGAGAGGTAACTTGCTTTACCAGAGTCCAAAATTCAGGTTAAGCCACTATAGTTAAAATAATGTGACCTGGGTCAGAAATTGGAAAATGGATGATTTTTAAAATAAATGTGATAGTACAATCAGTTACCCAATGTAAACAACATGTATAGTTGGCCATCTATTCTATACCATATACAAAAGAATTTCCAGTTGGATCAAACAGTGAAACCTTAACTGTTTAGAAAAAAAAATGCAGGTGTATATTTGTATGACTTGGGGTTGGGACATTCATCTGAAAAAAGACAGCAAACCAAAAAAACCCCACAAAATACCAGAAAAACCCCCAAAAAACAAAAAACTAAAAAGGAGAAAGTAATCTATCTAAAACTTTTTTAAAACCTGAAAAGTAAAAGATACCATCAATAAAGTCAAGATTAATGATAGGATAGAAAAATCATAACACATATGGGCTACAAATGATTACTATGCACCATATAGTAAATATAGTAAGAATTCTCACAAATTTATAAGGAAAAGATCAAAGATTCAATAGATAAATGAACATAGGATAAATACCGGCAAATCACAAAAGAGAAAAGTCCAAAAAGTGAAACAAACAACCCCCCCTAAAAACAAACCAACAAACAGAAAACCTCATTGAGTTTGCCAATTAAAGAAACAATAAAACAAATTTTTGCCTTTCAAATTTGTAAAAATTAAAGAATGCTGGAGAGGATGCTGGAAAATAAGAACTTTCATTTTAGATGGTACTTTTGCAGTACCTTTTAAAATTAAATATAAGCCTACATAGCAATCCCATTTCTAGGAATCGACCCTATAGAAATAAAAGCACTAGTATGTATTGAGCGGCTAATAAATATGTACTGTGTATGCAGCTGTTGGAGGCAGGAGAGAGAGAGGAGAGAGAAGAGAGAGAGAGGAGAGAGAGAAAGGAGAGAGAGGAGAGAGAGAGAGAGAGAGAGAGAGAGAGAGGGAGAGAATGGGTGATTTATTTAACAAATGTGCTGGCACAATCAGGTATCCAATGTGAACAAAATGTATAGTTAAATCTCTATCATATACCATATACAAAAATAAATTCCTGAGTGAGAGGGAAATGGATGATGTATTTAATAAATGTAATGGCATGATCAGGTATCCAATGTGAATAAAATGTATAATTGGACCTTTATCTTAATATTATATAAAAAAATAAATTCCAGAGGGAGAGGTGGGGAGGGAAAGAAGGATAGAAAAATGGAGGGAGAGGGAGAAATATCTGCAGCTACTGGTCGAAGGGATTAAGAAAAGCAATGACAAAGAAATGATGTGGCTTGTCATTTTTTCAGAAACAACTGCAACAAACTTTTTGTAAAAGGATTGGAAAAAACATAGGGCATGCATTATGTTCTTAACACTTGTTATCTGAGGAGAAGAAAGAAGGAAGGTAAGGGAAAAGAGGGAAAGGATATGGTGAGGGTTTACACCATTAATTTTTCTTTAGTTTTTCATTGTTCCAATGGTAATGAACACTTTTCAATTTTCTATGAGCACCCACTTTAAATTTTTCAATTATAGAACAAGGCAATATCATAGGTGCCAAAGTACACTTGGGCAAAACTGTGGAACTAGTCAATGTATAAGATTTAGAGGCACAGTAATAAGTAATAATAAATTTCTGACTCTCTGACACCAAAACTGTTCTCAAAAAGTACAATTACAATAACACGACATATTTTACATTTAATAGTTCCACAAATTTTGCAAAACACACACAATGAATTTAAGGGGTTTTCACCAAACCATAGACATAAATGTGAATATCATCATCAAACTTAATGAAGTAGACAGACGGCTTGGCCACCACTTGATGGATGAAAATGCCGGTCCTCTTGGACCCATCATCTTTGGCGTGCTCCACCTGCTTGCCCACGAGGCTGTCAATCACTTCTCCAGGCTCTCGCTCAGCTGTAGGGAAATAGTAGTTGGAATCTGGAATGATGCGCAGGTCACCATCTTTGTAGTCATCCAGCAGCGTGTACATATAAAGTACCGGATCTTTCTCGTAGGTGATGTAAAACCAAGTGTCCATCACGGGGGCTCGTGCCAGGACCATGCCCTTCCATTCATCTTTCTTGCCGTGTTCCCCCTCAAACACATGCTCCACTGCCTTGCCAATCAGGGAATCTGCGAGGCGCGAATCAATGCGAGGAGTTGGCACTCTCTCAGGAAGGATCTCTAGTGCTAAAACTCTCTTATCTCGGTGCAGTTCTAGTCCATACACACTATCTTTGCCGTCATATTTGATGATGTAGAGAGTGGGCTTCACAGAAACCTGCTCGAGCACTGTCCCCTTCCATTGCTCCACCGGCTCGTTGCCTTCCTTCCAGCCGTGTTGAATGCGGCAGCCAACGATGTTCCTCCGAGTGAGGAAAGTGGGCTTGCGCCGCTGCTTCCTGTGGGTGTGCCTTTTCTTCATCAGGTACGCGGACACACCATCTACACCCATTGGAGGCACGGTTGGGGGTGACATGGCTCGGGGTTTACGGAGGCTTTGGCAAAGCTGCCACTTGTCCGATTAAGCTGAGAAAAAGCCAACACTATCCAATACGAGATCTTTTTTCGTGATCTCTGACTCTCCCTTCACTAAGCACCAGGATCTCACCAGTGCTCCAGTGCTCGGGAGAAACGCTCTAACTCTAACCTTGGGTGCTGGGACGGCGTGGGCCTCTGGATAGTGTTCTCTCCCGCCCGGGAGGGTGTCTGCAGCAGTGGCGGTTGCTGCAGGAGATGGCGCGCTGGCTGTGCTGCCCGCGCCTAGCTCCCGCCCAGACTCCCAACCCCAAGTCCCGAAATGACCACTTAGCTGTTCTCGAAGGTGCTGCAGCTTTGACACGGCGATGCGGAGGGAGACTGTTGGAAAAGCGGGCAGGGATGAGAGGGATGGCTGCAACGGCAAAGGCGCCGGCGGCGACGGGTCTCTGGAGTCCCAGCGGCCTTGACTTCGCAGCGCTGCGCTGCTCGGCCTAGCTCCGGCGCCAGGGCTTTTGCCGCTTAGGAACTGGACCCCTCCGAGCCCGCCAGCGCCTCGGCCCCGCCCCCCGCCATTCCCCCTTCCGCTCCGCACGCAGCCGGAGGGGCCGCAGCGGGGCGGGTCAAGGCGCGCAAACGTTCAGTCCACTGAGTTTCAGGCGCTGGCTCCTTCCTTTCCTCACATGCCCCACGACTGCTTCCCTCAAACCGGAGCCAGACTGGCCGGCTCCCCTCCTCCCTTTCTCTGGCCTCCTGTTGCAGGCCTGCCTCCTCCACAGCAGCACCATCTGCTTTCTATCTTCCAGGAATTCCTCACAAAGCCTTTACTTAAAATAATAATAATAATAACATTCAACACACAGAGTTTATACATGTATTTTCTTTCAGTTAAAGGGATATGAGACTGGAGAAGGAAAAGCCTGTGTACAGTCCACCATCTTGTGACAAATTCTCCTTTATATTTTCTATCTGATCATTCGGTAACGCTTTTTCAATAATCTTTTTCTTTTTTTCTGAATGTAAAAGAAATGCACTGACATTGTGGAGCTTTTCCACAAATCAATAAAAGACAAAACTATCCCCAATATCCTTAATCTTACCATCTAGATATACACAAAATGTTGCTATACTTTCTCTTTTATTAATAAATCGATGCAGATTTTATTACCTTATAGCTTTTATTTTTCATTTATATCAAGAACATTTTCACAGGTTATTAAATACTCTGAAAATGTGACTTTTTAATGGTTCCGTAATGTTCATTTGTATGGATGGTCCATTAATGGTCTATGAAAATATAGATAATTAAATTAGTTTACATTCACATATGGATTAATTGAGCTAGCATAAGCCATATTTTCAAAGAATATTTAGTGACATGGAGATCTTCATATGGGCTAAGAGCGATGTGTGAAAAAGAATATTGAATAATATTGAATAAAAATTGTAGCCCCAATTTTGTAGAGTTAAAAAAGAAAGGGTTTTGTCATAAATATTTGTTATTTTTCTGACTATAAATATAATGCATTCGCATATGGAAAATCTGAAAGATAGCAAAGTGTCCATAATTTCCCTATCTCAAGTCACAGAGTAGTTATGAGGATTAAAAGGGAATGTCTGTAAAACTTTTAGTCCTATATTAGTGATGGTGAACCTATGACACGCGTGTCAGAGGTGACACGCGAACTCATTTTTTTGGTTGATTTTTCCTTGTTAAATGGCATTTAAATATATAAAATAAATATCAAAAATATAAGTCTTTGTTTTACTATGGTTGCAAATATCAAAAAATTTCTATATGTGACACGGCACCAGAGTTAAGTTAGGGTTTTTCAAAATGCTGACAAGCTGAGCTCAAAAGGTTCGCCATCACTGTCCTATATCCTACTTTATAAGATGTCAATAAAAACCAGGAAAGTCTAGGCCCCTCATTCTCATTCCTCCACCCTTCACTGGTGAGAAGAGAAGGCAGCATATCATCATGTGTAAAAAGGGCCATTAATTCATAGAGAATTGTAGAAAAGCAGGGGAGAGAGCTGCAAGGCAACAATATTGGCTGTCTCCACATTTTACTACCTTTCAAGACGAGGAGAGAAAACTTAACATTTGATAGCTAATTGGGCAGAATATGTGTTGATTCCTCCATTCCCCATGTTTCCCAGTCCAAGGACTTTAAAGGTGAGATAACTCTTCAATATTATAATGCAATAAATTAATTTCAAGGAAACAAGAAAACATGCATATTAAAAGGTATTTCCAAACTCTAGAATGGCATAGTGGTGTGTACATAGTTACACATATATATGGCCTAAACACTGAAAGTCAGAAGGTATTTGTAAATGTCATGTCATTATATTTCACAAATAATTCCCCAGGTGATCCCCCAGACCAAAATGTGCCAAGCTCTTTTTGTTTAGAACAGTTGACAGGTGAGAGGCCACCCATAGGGCACACAAAGGCAGGGAAAACAATTTACTCAGGCTCTTTGGTTGTATATTTAAGAGAATTCTTGCTCACAGCCCCACAAAACAGCCTGGGAGACAAAAGAATTTTTAATATTCTTTCTTCTCTAAAACTACGATTTTGATGTTTAGATCATTCCCTAACATTATGGATTCAGTAGGCCTTATCACACTATGACAATGTTTACTTTGTATGTCTGCCCACTCGGCTATAAACCCATTTGAGAGAGAACTTTATCTTGCAACCCAAATGCCTTATAAATAATAGGTACTCAATGAATATTTGTTAAAAGAATAAATAAATGGTTTCAGATGCCCTGCTCTAACCCAAAGAAATCCTCCCAAATGAAACAAGTTGTCTTACACAGTTTCTCAAGATTGGGGTCCTGGTGACTTAAAATCTCCCACAGCTGTTTTTTTATACTTTCAAAACATCCAGATCACTGACCCTGTGGATATGTGTCCATAAGTCTGAAAATGACTAGGAGAACACCATTAACCTGCAATATATGTATAATAATATCTACCTCAAAGGGCAGCTATGAAGATTAAATGAGATAAATACAAGTGAATTTCTTAGCTCATGAACTGGTTCATGGTAGATACTTGTAGTCTCCTAACCAAGCTCTTCTATTATCAGGTCTGTCTACTAAACCACAAAGCTCATGCCCCACCTCTAAACTTATGCTCTCTTTTACACTCAAGCCCTCTTGATCAGGGTCTGAATGTGAATCAAAGAGGTACTGTTGGCAGGATTTTTCTCTTATAGCCAGTTTCAGAGCAGTCTTTCAAATGCTGCAAGTTTCTGGAAGCTCAAATTCTGGATAAGTAAAAAGTTATTTAAAATACGTTTGGGGGATACAGTGTTAATTTATAACTGGAGGGGTGGTGGAAATAGGCATAAATGTTTTTAATTCCATTGTATAAGGCAAATTATAAATACCTGCTGAGAAGTACAAATTAAGTACTGGAGAGCCAAAGGAGGTAGTGATTTGTTATAGCTGGGGAGATTGAAAAGACAACTTGAAAGTGTAAGAGAACAAAAGGAAGACATTCAGAAGGTGGTAGAATAGTGAGGCCTTTTCAGTCTAAGCAGAAAACAGCTAGAGGAAAAGCACAGAGGGTTGCATGGACATAGGATATGTGAAAAACCAGTCAGGAGCTTGTGGCTGGAGCACAGATTTGCCAGGCTAAGGAATAGGGGATGTGGTTTGTGGTGGGAAGTAAGGCTAGTCAACGGTCTCAAATGCAGGAAATTGATCTTACATCCACTCTGCGTGGAAGCAGATAATGTTCCAATTCCTCTGACAGTGTAGTGTTGGCAGGACCGAAAGAGAGCTGATCTTCCATGTCCCTTCTGGCAGAAGCAGGCAGTGCTTCCCTAAGCAGGAAGTGTTTTCCTGTCAGAATAGTAGTATAGGTGGTGCTGAGCATAAAGCTGATCTTCCATTCCTCCTTTAGCAGAAGCAAGCAGTGTGGTGCTCTGATCCTTTTGCCAGAGAAGTGTCAGCAAAATTTAACAGTGAGTTGTTCCTCCACAGTCATCTGGTGGTATAAAGTACTGGATGATAGTGATCTCTATTCTATAGCCTTTCTTCACCCGCTCTTCCCATATCAACACAACATTGATGAGAGTAAGCAATGTAGAGTGAGGCAGGGCTAGTCAGCACTCTGTTTCCCTAGATCCTTGCTGGCAGTGAAATCCAGTGATGAGCTGAGTTTTCATCCCCAGCAACCATCAGTGAGACTGAAAGAGGGGAACAAGATAGAACTATGTGCTATTCAAATTTCCCTACAACTTTTGTGTCAGGCCCAGTGGCAGATAAGCCTCCACTCTCACTTGGAGGCAATGAGATTGTATAAATCAGTACCACACTTTCACCATGAGGAAATTTGCAGATCTCAGAAGGATGCTAAACTTCTATCCATCCCACCCATGTGCAATGTGGCAGTGTGAGTCAGTTCTCCACTTTTGTAAAGGTGGTCTCTAGAGATCCCACAAGAAGTCTAACATGCACACATACCTGATCCTCCAGCTACAAAACAACAGCGGGGATGTCTGATAAAAAACAAATTAAATAGAGTACAGAGATTCATAATATAATATCAAAAAAAGACAATGATACAATAAATATCAAAATTCATGCAAAGAGCAAGGGAAATCAACAATTTGAATGTGACAAGGCACTTACCAAATGGAAATTTTAGAATTAAAAAATAAAATAATTAAAATAAAAGTATCTTAGGATGGAATCAATATAAGACTAGAGATGACAGAAGATAGAACCAGCACATTTTGGGTTAGAAAAATAAAATTTATTCTATGTGAACAACAGAGAGAAACAGACTGAGGGGAAAAACACAGTCTCAGAAACTGTGAGCCAACAAAAGAGTTAACATTTACAATTGCCTTAAAGGAAATGAAATTCTTAGCTATAGATCTACCAAAACATGTAAAGGATCTGTATACTGAAAATTAAAAATGGTAATGCCAGAAATTAAAGCAGTCCTAATGGAAGGACATACCATGTTCATGGCTTTGAAAACTCAGCATAGTAAATATATAAATTCTCTTCAAAGTGATCCATAAGTTTAATGCAATTTCTAGGAAAACTTGAGCAATGTTATTTATAGAAATACATAGGATTATTCTTTTTAAAAAAATATATACATATTTTATTGATTTTTTACAGAGAGGAAGGGTGAGGGATACAGAGCTTGAAACATCGATGAGAGAGAAACATCGATCAGCTGCCTCCTGCACACCCCCTACTGGGGATGTGCCCACAACCAAGGTACATGCCCTTGACCGGAATCGAACCTGGGACCCTTCAGTCCACAGGCAATGCTCTATCCACTGAGCCGAACTGGTTAGGGCCATAGGATTATTCTTAAATTTATGTGGAAAAGCACAATATCTAAAATAGCTAAAACAATTTTAAAAGAAAAGTATATTGTACAAAGAATCATTCTAACTGAAGTTAAGA